TTGACTTCCAACCGATGGCACATCCGAACAAAGTGAAAATATAACATGTCTGTGCCCTGCGATTCAACAAATCACCTCCATGATCAGATTCATCATATCAAACCAAGTCAATCTTCGTATTAGCTCCATACACCAAGCAAACATTTGTCGTTCCCTTCAAGTATTGGATGATCCACATGACAACTTCCCAATGAGCCTTCCCTGGATTACTCATAAACCTACTTACCACACTAACTAAATGAACCAAATCAGTTCTGGTACAGACCATTGCATACATAAGACTTCCACCAGCACTAGAGTAAGGAACTCTGCTCATGTACTTCCTTTCTTCATTAGTTGTGTGTATAGTATCTAGACCAAGTTTAAAGTGAGCCGCCAAAAGAGTTCTAACTGGTTTGGACTGGTCACAGTTGAAAGACTGCAAAACTTTCTCAATGTACTTTTGTTGAGAAATACACAATCATCCTGCTCTTCTATCCTTTTTAATCTCCATCCCTGGTGTCTTCTTTGTTGCTCCCAAATCCTTCATCTCAAACTCATTCTTCATGGTCGCCTTCAAGTCATTTATTCCAGCCATCTCCTTGGATGCGATGAGCATATCATCAACATATAGAAACAAATATATGTAGGAATCTCGTGAGTAGACACAATTATCAAACTAGTTCCGAGTGTAGCCATGCGAGACTTTGAATGAATCAAATCTCTTGTACCATATCTTGGAGACTGCTTCAAACCATAGAGAGATTTCTTCAGCAAATATACATGATCCTTCTTTGAATCAAGGAACCCTTCTAGTTGGGACATATAAATCTTCTCTTCTAAGTTCCCAAGAAGAAATGCAGTTTTCATATCAAGTTGTTCAAGCTCCAGATCAAGTGCACTCACCATGGCCAAAGGAACCCGAATTGTCTTGTGCTTCACGACCGGTGAGAACACATCGTGATAATCAATTCATTCTTTCTAAGAAAAACCTTTTGCCACCAACCTCGATTTGAACCTAGTTGGTTCAACTCCTATTATCCCTTCCTTCTTCTTAAAAATCCATTTGCATCCTACTGGTTTTTCTCCCTTTGGTAATGGAACTAGATCCCATGTTTCATTCTTCTCTAATGATTACATTTGTTCATTCATAACCATCAACCAATTTGTTGCTTCATTACTCTCCACTGTCTCTTTATATGATTGAGTCTCCTAAGTGTCAATGTCTTCTCCAGTTGCTAAAGCAAAAGCAATGGAGTCAAGGTCACCAGAATTGACATATCCCACATATCTAGCATGTTGTCGAATAACCCTATTTGATCTCCTGCTTGCTATAGATTCTTGCCCATCATCCTTCTCGGCATCACTACTGGATGAAGATCCCATAGGTTGCTCTTGGGTTTCATCTTGTCCAGTTTGTTCACTGCTGCCTTGTTCTTCATCACTTATCACAACTCTATTTGGAGTTTGAGATGAAAACTCCACCTTCTGGCTAGTACCTTGATCTTTGTTCCCTGCTTGACTTGTATCACCTTCTCCCTGGTTACCCATGGCAGATTCATTAAAAGTTACATCTCTGCTCATGATAAATTTAGGAGTTCTTCCTTCTTTTGTACACCATAGTTGATAACCTTTTACTCATGTCGAATATCCTAGAAATATGCACTTCGTTTCCCTTGGCTCAAGTTTACCATCATTCACATGAGCATATACGGGGAATCCAAATATTTGTACACCAGAATAATCAGAGGGTTTCCTAGACCATACCTCTTGAGGAGTCTTTAACTCAATAGTAGTTGATGGTGATCTGCTCACCAGATAGCAAGCAGTGTTCACTACTTTTACCCAGAATTGCTTAGATAAGTTAGCAAATATTTGCATGCACCTTGCACGCTGCATAAGTGTTTTGTTCATCCGTTCTACCACTACATTTTGATGTGGTGTGTGTCGTACAATGTGGTGCCTCACTATACCTTCTTCCTTGCAGAAGTTATCAAATGGAGCATTGCAAAACTCCAACCCATTGTCAGTCCTTAGAGTCTTGACCATTAAGAGTCACCAACCTTATATATTAAAATAAAAACAAACTGGCCATAAAGTCACCAGCATGTATAGTCCCCATTTCCACAGATTGACCTATCTCAAGCACAAGTTGCTTGGCAATGTATTCTTTTTCCCGACCAATTTCCTTCTTTGTTGCTCCATTAGCAAGTGAACAGATTTCTATTTTGAGCAAATGTTCAGAGACATCTCACTCATATACATAGATATAGATAGAGATAGATAGAGAGAGACCATGAAGCATCCAATTGTTAATAAAACAAAAGGTTTGTAGTACCCTTTACGGTTCATGGTTTATCTTCTTAACGACATGTGATGTAAAGGCAAGCAGCTAAGAGTGCATCTTGGTTTCTTCCACTACTCGATTTCTGATCTTCTACTTTCTTGAATATCTCATTAGCTCGATCCTATTTATATAGAACCACCAAGAATTCTATGAAAAAAAAGGTACGAATGATTGTAATAACTAATAACTAATAACCCCTATCACATGGAAAGAATCATAGAAAGTATGAATTAAGAATTATGAGCCGGTTATGAGAGTTAGAATGTATGCTACCAATAACTTTCATTGTGGTTTTAAGTTGATACATAGGTAATTGGGCTAGTTTGTAACTTTTGGCACATGGTTCAATCCGTTTTGTATACAATTGGTTATATATTGTCATGGATAGCAATAACATACGTTAATTGTTGCAACAAGGCCCAACTTGGATGAAAAATGAAATGCATTAGATACTATAAAGAGAAAACAAAATGCAAACACCATCGGTATATGCAAGAATGTTGAAACAAGAGAAGGTATGTATGAACCTATAGAAAAATCATATATAGGACAAAAAAGATGTTAGAAATTTAGGGGTAAAAGCACTTGGAAAGTATGAGAATTGTGTAATCACTTTCAGATTGAAGTATTTGGGTGGTATTCCCAATCTTTAAACGGATAAGACTCAGAATGATAAGAGAACGGAACAAAGAATAAGATGTATAAATTTCGTGAGTACCAAATGTATGACCAAAAAATGGTTAAGTACCTTTCTCATCAGAAAATTGTCACAAGACAGATTTTATGTCTGAAAAACTGTCATTAAAACAATTTTATGTCTGAAAACTATCACTAATTCGGGTTCTTTCTATAAGGGTCAAAACAAAGTCAAAATCATGTTTATTTTCAAGAATTCAGCTCTCTTCCTCGGCCCCACCATGGGCTCTTCCCCTTGGACCCCGTTAAGGGTTGCCTCCCCTTAGACCTCGCTCCCAGGGGCGCTGCCTCGGACCCCTGTTCGTTCAGGGGCTTCAAAGCCCTTAAATGACAGTCTACTTTGAATCTTGAATAAACTTAAACAATTATGCACTCTACACCTTCCTTACTTGTATAATATTTATCAAGATTGATTTTGGTCAACAAGTTACTCCATTACACTTAAATACACATTGATGATACAAATCATCAACAAAAGAAGTATCATGCCAAATTACTTATGTGGAATTTATAAGCAAAGTGGTCATTTATTTAAATTCAAAAAATTGTTTTGATAATGAAATGAGACATAATAAAAACTAAAAATGGTGTATGTAAAAAAAATGATAAAAATTAATAGCAAAAATTTAGAAAAAAAAAAGTCAAAAAAATATATTAAAAATAGAATAAAAAGTGAGGTTTAGAAAACTATAATATTTTGAAACTACACATATTTGATAAATATTTTTAAAACTGTACCTGTTTGTGAAATAAATTTTAAAAAATCATTTTGGTCAAAAAAAAAATGTCTTAGGCCTCAAAAGTGCATAGATTATACGCCTCCAATTTCAATCATTACTTTTAAGTTGCATTAGAGTAATCATAATAAACCAATTTTGAATGTTTTTGTTTATTCGATTCAAATCAGAGGATGAGCATTAAGAATGAAATTCCATAAAAACACAAATCCTAATCTACATCAGATTTTAATATACATAATTTGGTGGATAAGTATTTCTATGAAATTTCATAGGTAACTAGTTATATTGGGCGGAAGATTTAAAAAAGTTATGGAAAATGTTACGGTACATAATATAAATATACCCAACTACTAAAAACTAGGGGTGAACAAAAACCGAACCGCAAACCGAAAAAACCGCATAAAACGAAACCGAAATAAAAACCGACGGTGCAGTTTTTAGTTTTGCAAAAACCGAAAATGTTCGTTGCGGTGCGGTTTCTAGTTTTGCAAAAACCGCAAAAAACCGAACCGCACCGCATATATATATATATATATATATATATATATATATATATAT